GTGTGTGTGTGTGTGTGTGTGTGTGTGTGTGTGTGTGTGTGTGTGTGCAACATAGAAAACTGGTGAAAGTGCACAAAGCAGCAGCACTACTGACATCAGGCGATGTAGGCAGCATCTAGTCCTCTGAGGAGCAGTGTTAAAGAAGGAGAACAAGTAAGAGGAGGGGGAATGAAGTAACAAAGAAAAAATGGGCAGATAAGTAAAAAAAAAAAAAAGTCATGATTAAATTAAAATGAGTTTGGAGCCAGAGAGAAAAGGTAAAAGAATAAACATATCAAAATAATAGGAGGAATAAATAATGTGGAGAAGGAGACAGAGACAATATGTTATTAACGATTCCCCCCAAAATACTGTTCTAACAAATGTCAAACACATTTTCAACAAAACAAATTGGTCAACTGTTTTTTAGAATTGTGTTGCGGTCTAACATTTTGGAATAAAAAAACAAACTTTATATCAATATGCATCAGACCGTGCATCATGCATTAGGTGGGACATGCAACATCATACATGCTCTGCCAGAATTTAGTTTATGTTATAATTGTTCTTTCTGTGGGAACTGCTGCAGTGACAATTAGTGAGTTCAATGCACCTAGACAAGCAAGATGGTTTGTTTGCTGCGATCCTAGTACTACTAGAAAAAGGTAAGAAAAATTTATAGCCATTCAGCCCAATGATACATCTCCCACTACAATAGTTTACTGTGCATCTTAACCCAGTACTGACTTAATTTGCAAGTTCACTACCCTCCTCACCAACATATCAGTCCTGACACCCAACAGAATTCTGTTTAGTGATTTGCATAAATATTGGCAACTCTAATAACCCTCAGGAGAGGGAGTAGTGGCATAGAGAAGGCGAACCTGTGATCGGAAGGTTGCCGGTTTGACATCCCCGGATTGACAACATCAGAAATATGAGAAGGAAAGGTGAAGCACCCACATCTGCCTCAACCCTCATTTGTCCCACCCTGGGCCCTTGAGCAAGGCCCTTGTCTCCCACCATCTGCTCCCCTGGGCAAATGGCAGCTCTCTGCTCCACACAGAGGGCTGTGGTAGATGGGTGGTGTGTGATTGCATCAGTAAGGTCATCTGGAATAAAAACAATTGCCAAGTCTTCGTGCGATTGGGTTGCCACAGCAAACTTTGAAGAAGGGAGCAGTCGAAAGAAGTTGAAGAAGATTAACCCACTGGTAAAGGTCTTCCTATCCTGCTTGGGCAGTTTTTTGTTTTCGGCAATTTGATATTCCCACCCATTCCAAAGGCCAGTGTTTCCCCTATCATTATACAAGCAGGGCACCCCACCCTGTCAATAGAACAGAGTGTCCTGCTTACCGAACACCCCCTTTTCCCCCGGTCGACAACTGATGGCACTTAAGTAGCGCAAAGCTAATGGCGCGCAATACAGTTGCGCTAGTTAAAAAGCTACAGTGCTTTTCCCTCATGCTGAGCAGTCTACCCCTCGCCCCCCCAGATCAAAAACTGTGGGTACAAACAGTGCACTCAACACAGACCTGTCTCCGTCTCCAACCCCCACCACCCCCACCCCTTTACCATCTTAATAACAGCAATAAACAGCAGTCACCCCCGCTTTCAGGAAACCCATAACGACTGTACTGGGTCATCTTCCCAGGTAACCCCAATACATTCCCAGTTGCTTCTTGGTCCATGCCAACCTCTATGACAATAATGCCCATGTTCCATTCTAGCTTCCCTTCCCTGCACTGAAACTCCTATTACCAAAAATCACTAATGACCTTCTTACAGTTGTTGCCTTTGAACTCTTTCTATCCTCTTCCTGCTTGATTTAAGTCTAGTCTTTGACACCATCTCACACACACCATTCTCAATGACATTGTTTCACATATTCTGGAATTAAAGTAGATAAAAATCTTTTTGACTGAATTTTTTTTTCTACACCTAGAGAGCATCCCGTGGCAGAGGTTTGATCATACACGTAAGTTGTACATGTCTGAACAATAATGACAATGTTTCAAAGACATTAACATTTAATAGAATGTGGCTTGTAGATACAAAGGCCCCAAGGAGGTTGGGGCAGGGTTCGGGAGGTGTGGCTAGGGGTGATAATGTGTGTATCAGTTCTGGTAATTCCCCCAGATGCAGTGAAATAGTCATGTGCAAACACAGACATTTAATATTTAGACATTTAATAATTTATTATATGTCATCACCTTTATGGGAGTGTGAGCGGTTTAGTTAGGGTTTTGGGGTGTCCTTTGAAAATAGTATGGGAAACACTGATTGGTGCTTTCATCTGTAGTCTCTTTTTAAACTTTAAAAACCATTCTGGGTTCATCAGACAACATCTCCCTGATCTGATTTGGTAAAACTGTGACTCTGGTTCTCTTTATCTGTTGAAAGCAGTGTCAATTTAATAAATGGATCATGCTTAGATTGAATGGCCTTCATCAAGCCACAACTAAACAAGTCCCCCCCCCACCCCTGCATTTTTACAAATGACAGATGTCCCAGCCACATGCAAAAATTATGGAAATTTGTAACAATTAAAAACTTTATTCCCTGCATTTTGGTATTTCAGACACACTCCTCAACTCTTTTTTTGCATTTTTATCTCTCTGACCAAACACAGTTTGCTCAATTTGTCAGGGGAATTTTGGTCAATGTCGAGGATGTTTATCAATATCCAATATCCTGATGTATGCTCTATAATCCAGGTAGAAAAATCAAAAAAAGTTAAGGCTGGTCCTCTGGACATTCAAAAAAAAAAAAAAACAAAACAAAAAAGTAGAAATGTTTCATGTTTCATCTTTCATCCGAAAGACTTCTTCAATCTGAGGTACTGTACTCAGCTCAGTTTTATACAGATCAGGTACGCTTAGCACAGCATGTCAAGTCCAAGACTCGACAACAAAAGATGTTTAATTTACTGATAACACATCAACACCATCACAATTCCAATAACAACACATTCAGTGTAAGACAACACTCCAGTAGACAGTTGCATGCCAGGGAGACAGAAAAGTGGGTGAAGAACTTATCTGACAGACAGCTCACCCAGCCAGAGTCAGATTTTTGCCAGAGGACTGAATTTTGCAGTTGCACCAAGAGGAATTCCTCTGGAGGAGATTATCACAGCCACAGAATCAGCCACCCACAACAACTAAATTAAAGAGTGTGATGCAAAACAACTCAGAATCAAAGGTTCAGCCTACCTCAGCAATGCCAAACCACCACCTTCCAACATCAGTAGAGAGGAGGGGGATGCACTCACCACTCTTGGCAAGGACAAAAACATAATCAATCTCCCAGCAGACAAAGGAAGGTGCACAGTGATTTTGAACCAGAAATACTATCATGAGAATGTTATGACACTCCTTAGTGACTTAACCACTTATGAGCCACTGAAAAGAAATCCAGGAAGTGGCTACAAGAAGAAGTTGATAGACTGCTTGAAAATTTAGGAGCAGGACAAGGCTATTGACCATTTTATGTACCACACACAGTACCCAGGGGAGGCCACACCTAGTCTGTATGGTTTACCTAAAATCCACAAACAAGGTGTACCTTTAAGACCAATTGTTAGCATGATAAACTCAGTCACTTACAATGTTTCCAAATATCTGGCGTCTGTACTCATCCATTTAGTTGGTAGCTCAGAATATCACATACAGAACACCATGGACTTTGTGGATAAGGTGAGGGATGTCATCATGGAGAATGATGAAACAATGGTCTCTTTTGATGTCACATCACTCTTTACGTGCATTCCTGTTGATGATGCAGTAGAGGTGGTCAGTTTAAGGTTAAAATCAGACGCCACTCTGAGCAGCAGGACCACGCTTTCCACAGAACTGTGTCAACTCTTTAAACTGTGCCTGCAGTTAACGTACTTCATTATCCATTCATCCATCCATTTTCTTCCACTTATCTGGGGTCGGGTCGCAGGAGTAGCAGCCTAAGTAGGGAGGCCCAGACTTCCCTCTCCCCAGCCACTTGGTCCAGCTCCTCTGGGGGAATCCCTTGGCGTTCCCAGGCCAGCCGAGAAACATAGTCCCTCCAGCGTGTCCTGGGTCTTCCTCAGGGCCTCCTCCCGGTGGGACGTGTCCGGAACACCTCACCAGGGAGGCGTCCAAGAGGCATCCTAAACAGATGCCCGAGCCACCTCAACTGGCTCCTCTCGACGTGGAGAAGCAGCGGCTCTACTCTGAGTCTCTCCCTGATGATCGAGCTTCTCAACCTATCTCTAAGTGAGAGCCTAGACACTATGCGGAGAAAACTCATTTCGGCCGCTTGTATCCGAGATCTCGTTCTTTCGGTCACAACCCAAATCTCATGACCATAGATGAGGGTGGGAACGTAGATTGATCAGTAAATTGAGAGCTTCACCTTTTGGCTCAGCTCTCTCTTCACCATGACAGACCTGTACAGCGCCCGCTTCACTGCAGACGCTGCACCTATCCGCCTATCGATCTCACGCTCCATTTTTTCCTCATTCATGAACAAGACCCCAAGATACTTGAACTCCTACACTTGGGGCAGGACCTCCTCCCTGACCCGGAGAGGGTACTCTACCCTTTTCTAGCTCAAGACCATGGCCTTGGATTTGGAGGAAATGATCCTTATCCCGGCCGTGTCGCACTCTGCTGCGAACTACTCCAGCGAAAGCTGTAGAGCCCGATCTGATGAAGCCAATAGGACCACATCATCTGCAAAAAGCAGAGATGCAATCCTAAGGCAACCAAAACGGATCCCCTCAATACCTTGGCTGCGCCTAGAAATTCTGTCCATAAAAGTTATGAACAGAATCGGTGGCAAAGGGCAACCTTGGCGGAGTCCAACTCTCACTGGGAACAAGCCCGACTTACTGCTGGCATTGCGGACCAGGCTCTGTCACTGGTCATACAGGGACCTAACAGCCCATATCAAAGGGCCCGGTACCCCATACTCCCAGAGTACCCCCCACAGGATTCCCCGAGGGACACGGTCGAACACCTTCTCCAAGTCCACAAAGCACATGTAGACCGGTTGGGCAAACTCCCACACACCCTCCAGGACCCTGCTGAGGGTGTAGAGCTGGTCCAGTGTTCCACGACCAGGATGAAAACCGCACTGCTCCTCCTGAATCTGAGTTTCGACTATCCGACGGACCCTCCTCTCTAGAACTCCCGAATTGACCTTACCAGGGAGGCTTAAGAGCGTGGTCGCCCTGTAGTTGGAACACACTCTACAGTCCCCCTTTTTGAATAGGGTGACCACCACCCCAGTCTGCCAATCCAGGGGAACTTCCCCTATGTCCACGCAATATTGCAGAGTCGCGTAAGCCAACACTACCCTACAACATCCAGAACCTTAAGGAACTCCAGGCGAATCTCATCCACCCCTGGGGAGAAGCGGAGCATAAAGTCGCTTCCGCAGCTGTGGAGCCCCTCTGCTGCTGGCCAAGGCGGTCCCTCCAGCGGCTGGAGGGGCGGGAGGAGGACTGTGACATCACCGGATGGTATACAGTCTCTGAGACCTCCTCCTATCTCTGCGATTTCTCCGGACGTCAGGAGGTTGGCGTGGCGGAGACCCAGGCATCCTTAGCAAAAGTTTTGCCGGTCAAAGCAGGACATCTTTTCCTCCTTCATTCTTCTGACAGTGCTAGCTAGTTGGCTGAAGAAAAAATGGGAGCCGATTACCCGGTCTCACCATAACTTATACGGACCAGGGGTGAGGCCCACACAGCAGGTGGGCGTGGACTAAAGTTTTTCAGTGCTGCGCTGCGAGCGAAGGGATAAACCCACAAGCGATAGCCTTAAAGAGCGAAGCTTATACGAAATAGAACAAATGCTGCTGCAGTCAATGCTAATTAGACCTTCACTATACGTGAATGACTGTTTAAACAATGAACAGGGTAGGGAGTTTCTTTGTTTAATTTATATTCTTCTAACAGACTTGATTACTTTATGGTGAATAGTGGAGGACAGAAAATGTGAATGCACATTAGGAAGACTGTTTCAAGACTTCAACTGTTAAAACAGGTTTAAAAATAGCTGTTCACTTAAGATTCTTGGGGGTGGACAAAGAAAAAAATTCAGACAGTATATTGATTATCAGTATTAGCCTTCCCCTCCTAATATTGGTATCAGTGATAGCCAAAATTTCCATATCAGCCAGCTCTAGTCATGACATAAATAACAAAAAATGTGTACTCACATGCACACATGCAGACTTAAACTGAGGAGAAAAAACAAAGAAAACTTAAAAACATACTCAAAGGCCATGACTGGTTGGTGAGGTTAACCAAGCAGCTTTAGTAAACTCACAAATAGCCAGTGGAATGATGGGATTTGTCTTACCAAACTTTTGTGCCTGACGTGATTCCTGCTCTCCTTTCTCCAAAGCAATACCTCTGTCTGCAATGATTAATGTACATGTTCATGTAAATTAAGATGGATATAAATATTCACATACAAAATATAAGGGAAGGTAAAAAAAGGCAAAATCCATTCACATATATAAGGTGAAGTAAGATGCGATAAAGATAGAATATGTTAAAGTACATACATATATACTTTAGGCTGCCACCATAGTCCAGGGCTATCTGGACAGTGCTCACAGACTACTTCCCCTCAGATTCACGACCTTGGCTGGCCTCCCTCGTTTGCCCCCTGGTGCAAGAACCTAGGTAGATGTCGCTCACTTGGGCGGCCTGTGCTGGGACCCCCACCCTCACCCACTCCACACTCCCACTCCATATGTCTTTATGTCACCAGTATGTTGTCCTGTTAAGGACACAGTGTGAGATATGTTTTTTTTTTTTTTTTTTTTGACATCATCTTCCATCGTGTTCCCTTTCTTCTGATCTAACAAAAAGGAAGCGCCTCTCAGTGAGGCTGCAGCCTCAAACACCCTGTCTACCCTGTCTGTTGTGTGTTTGTGTCTCTTTGGATGGGCAGTACTGAAATGTAATTTTGTTGTGCCTTTGTGCAATGACAAAGCTGATTCTGGCTGTGATAGATTGCCAGGCCCCAAAAAAGGTCACTTCCTGGATTTAACTAAGCAAGTAGTAAGCCTCCCATTGGATAACTGTTGCATGGGTGATTATGTTTCAGTTGGCAACAAGTTAGTTAACCCTAACTGAGGAATCTAAAAAAAGTTAAATCTGGTCCTCTGGACATTCAAAAAAACAAAACAAAGCAAATCAACAAAAAAAATGTAGAAACGTTTCATCTCTCATCCGAGAGACTTCCTCAGTCTGAGGAGCTGTATTCAGCTCAGTCTCTTAAATAGCACCGTCTCAGAGTGGATCAACCAGTTTTGCTGCTGACAACCAAAACCAGCTGATCACATGCTCAAGAAGGACCATCAGCCTAACAATGGATCATTAGCACACTGATGGCTGTCTACTGTTCACAGAGGGCTGAGTGATACTAGCAATCACAGCATTGTAAGAGGGGGACAGTTAAACCTGGAGGCCTCCACCCCTGTTTAACGATGGACGATTTATTTTCACAAAGATGGCCTCCTTTACTCCTCTCTCAAACCATCGTTCCTCTCTGTCCAGGATGTGAACATCTTCATCCCTGAAAGAGTGACCGCTGGCCTGGAGATGAGTGTAGACTGCAGAGTCCTGGCCTGATGATGTTGATCTTCTGTGCTGGGCCATCCTTTTGGCCAGTGGCTGTTTTGTTTCCCCCATGTAAGACTGATCACAGCCCTCCTGACACTGAACAGCATACACAACATTACTCTGTTTGTGCCGGGGGACTGGATCTTTGGGATGAACCAGTCTTTGCCATAATGTATTTTGGGGTTTAAAAGCCACTGGGACGTTATGTTTAGAAAATAAACGTCTCAGTTTCTCTGATATTCCCTCAACATATGGAATGACCACTGGTCTGGGTCTTGGTTCCTCCTTTTCACCTGTTGGCTGACTGGAGTCCTGTTTGGGTTTCTTCTCTGCTTTCAGGAAGGCCCAGTTAGGATATCCACATTGCTCTAGAGCCTGTCTTGTGTGGGATTTCTCCTTCTGCCTGGCTCCTGAGCTAGTGAGGACGCTGTCTGCTCTGTGATACAGAGTCCTGATGACTCCTAACTTGTGCTCCAAAGGGTGATGGGAGTCAAACTGCAAATACTGGTCTGTGTGGGTGGGTTTGCGGTACACCTCAGTTTGCAAATGTCCTCTATCAGAGACTGAGACCTCACAGTCCAAGAAAGCCAACCTGCCATTTTTTACATCTTCTCGTGTGAACTTGATGTATTTATCCACAGAGTTGATGTGGTCAGTAAAATGTTGGACTTCCTGAGATTTGATTTTAACCCAGGTGTCGTCAACATACCTGAACCAATGACTTGGTGGTGTCCCTGAAAAGGACGTCAAGGCTCTCTTTTCTACCTCCTCCATGTACAGGTTGGCAACAACAGGAGAAACTGGAGACCCCATAGCACACCCATGTTTCTGCCTATAATATTGCTCTCCATATGTGAAGTAGGTTGACTGCAGGCACAGTTTCAAGAGTTGACACAGTTGTTCTGTGGAAAGTGTGGTCCTGCTGCTCAGAGTGGTGTCTGATTTTAATTTTAAACTGACCACCTCTACTGCATCATCAACAGGAATGCACGTAAAGAGTGATGTGACATCAAAAGTGACCAGACCTAACTGAGGAAGTGAGTAGCTTCTCATTTGTTAAAATTTGTTAATATGGAAAATATGTTAATCTGTTTCAGAAGGGTCAAATTATTGTCATGCATCAAGCAGAGAAAACGACTGAGGAGATTGCTGAAAAGACTAAAATCGGGTTAAGAACTGTCCAAAGCACTATTAAAAACTGGAAGGATAGTGGGGAGTGAGCATCAGAGTAAGAAGAGAGACGGCAGAAGTGACGAACCCATCATGACTAATACCTATCATACAAGCCTGTGGGGGCAGTCTATGATCAGTGGTTGCTGCAGTTGGTCTGGTTTAGGTTCAGAAACTTTATGAGCCCAATGAGGTCAGCTGACCACCTGAATATATATATGGAATGACCAGGTTATTTCATCAATGGATGTTTTCTTCCCTGATGGCACGGGTATGTTTCAAGATGTCAATGCCAAGATTCATCAGGCTCTAATTGTGAGATGTGTATGTATGTGTGTGTATAAATAAACATTTAATGAAAAACTACAACTGTAAAATAAGTATTTTGTGGACTCTTTTTCTCTGCCGGAGGTACACTGCAGTTGACTTGGTCAACTTGATAGAAAACAAGGACATTTTGATCTGTGGGAAGCTTTAATAGTTCTGAGGCGACCCACATGTGCAGAGGATAATGTGACACAATACATGGCACATTATGGAATTAAACATGGATGATAAACATTTTAGCATTAGTTCTATCAATTTTGATGTTCTTGTGCAAACCAATTAAAACTATCTGACATCCTTGTATGGTCCAGTGTTTATATCTAATCTGACCTCTTAATGGCTCCTCCAGTGCAGCATTGTATTTCTGGAACAGGAGCGACGCATTGAAGTTAGAAACAAACTCAAATATTGATCCCATCATGTCAATACAGTCAATCATTATATTGTCATATGATATTTTATATTCAGTCATCCAGGCAAAGTAAGAAAAACAAGTGGTACGCCAATGTCCTCCATTGCTGATGGGTTTGAATAGTGAATGTTTGTAGTTTCTGAGATTAATGTTTTTCTGGACTGAAATTGAACAGTCATTGTAAATAAATAAATAAACCTTATATTTTGTAAAGCAAGTTTTTTTAAAGTGGGTTGGAGTTAAATGTATGTATGTAAATAAGTGAGGAGGCTGGTTTACAAATATTGATTTTGGTGGCCATCTTGAATTTTGAAGCAACCTAATTTTCAATGGTGACATTTCTTACAGCTAAATGCATCTACACAGCAAAATGGAAGTCAGCTAGTTGCTTTTTTCCCCAAGTTATCCAGCTCACAATACAGAAAGACATATTTGGCTGCAGTCATCTCAGATCTTGGTGCAACACAATTCTTGATAGGGACCTTTCTTATGCCTAGATACAGCAACACACCAAAATGGAAGCTGTCGCGTTGCTTATCTTTTTAAGTTATCTAATTCACAAGGTTTACACATACTGGTACATATGGAGGTAGCCATCTTGAATTTTAATGAGGCAACCCAATTCTTTCTTATGCTTACATGCAGCCAGATTGGAAGTTGAAACATTAGTTTTCACTTTTTTTTTTATCTCATCCAACGCACAAAGATTAAATACACTGCCTGGCCAAAAAATGGCCACACACTGTAATATTTTGTTGGATCGTTTTTAGCTTTGGTTACGGCATGAAAAGTGAATATTCAAAAAGTGAAAAAATCAAGGCCTCCCAAGCATAGTAACCCAAAGAAACTATATTTTAATGAAAAAAGTGCATGGTCATGATAAACAACAGATGCTTAGACAGCCAGCATCATATCAGTCTCACCTGGCCTAGCATCATCGTTGTCCAGCAGGGGAATGTAGTCTGTCTTTTCAACCATTTCCTTGACCTGATCATCGAATGTTTCTGCTTCCAACTGAGCCACAAAGTCCTTCTCCACTGTGCTCTCTGAACCAGACTGTGGAACACAGTCTGTCAGTGCATCACTTAGACTTAGGTCTTCCTCTGACATGGCTGAAAATAAGAGCACAAGTAAACTGTTCAATAAGTCAGATACACACTTGTAGTAGAAGTAGTAGTAGTAGTAGTAGTAGTAGTAGTAGTAGTAGTAGTAGTAGTAGTAGTAGTAGTAGTAGTAGTAGTAGTAGTAGTAGTAGCAGTACTAGTAGCAGTAGTACTAGTAGTAGTAGCAGTAGCAGTAGTAGCAGTAGTAGTAGTAGCAGTAGTAGTAGTAGTAAAAGTAGTAGTAAAAGTAGTCGTAAAAGTAGTAGTAGTAGTAGTA